ATAAAAAATATTAAATATGATTTAGTGTGTGTTAAATGAACATTTAAAATTTTAAATGTTTTAAAAATTTATATTTTTTTTCCTTTTAACATTTAAGAACATGGTTCTGTCACTTGATTATTACTAACTGTTTGAACTATAAAATTTATAAATACATTTTACTTTTTAAATATGTGTTATATTATATATTTATATATTTGGTAAAGATAAATTTATATTATCATTACTAATGAAATCTTGTATAAACTTGTATTTATTAATTTCTTTTTCATTCATTTCATTTAGTATTTACGTTTTTTCTAATTTAATATTTATTAGTTATAAAAATATTAAATATGATTTAGTGTATGTTAAATGAACATTTAAAATTTTAAATGTTTTAAGAATTTTTTTTATGCCTATATGGACACTCTAGATGGAGAGAAAACTCTCCTATTATATAATAGATTAAATTTTCTATAACTCTTTTTTTTCTGTACATAATAGCTAAAATCACACACACAAAAGGAACCGGCTCTATTCGAAAAAGGGCTAATAAATTCTCCGCTAAGAAAATGGAAAAAACAACAGAAGATTTGTAAAAAAAAAAAATTTATAAAGTGAAGATTTGTAAATGTTGAAACTATTAGTCACAAAAATAATGTAGAAAAAAAAAACTAGAGACTTGAAAATAAAATATCAATCATAGTTTTGAATTTTGATACCATATATATCATCAATAATCTTGATTGAAAATAATTTATTTTCCACTCTATAACATAATACAAGTAGAAAACTAGTTGTAGAAACTAGAGAACTAGTTTGTATTTTAGTCACTGAGTGAGTTGTGTTCTAGGAGAGATAAGATGGTATTTAATTACTTGGTGTGTTAAAGAGAGGTGTAAACATGATTAAAGATCAGTAAACAGTAATGAGAAGAACAGTCTAATGGCTAAACCTTGGAAGCAACGGCAAAGCACAAATNTATTTTGTATATACAAAGGACAAAGAAAAATGTATTGCGTGAAGCAACCACACGCTTGTTTGTGTATTCTTTCTTCTTCGCCTTCTTCTTAACTAGTCCCGGACACAACAGTCATATATAGATATACGTTTTTATCTTACAATAAGAGAAATACAAGCAACTAGTATAAGTAGATCCTAGTATTAGTAATAAATATTGTAAGGGTCAAAATCCACCCCTTATGAATTAATGACCAAATTTGGCTAAGTGTAGACAACAGTTAAGAGGTTTTCCGCGGAGATTCTTAACGGGTTTTCCGCGGAAATCTTTAACGGGTTTCCTGCGAAGGCTTTAGTAAAGAAGTTTAGAAAACCCGCGGAAAACCTTATCTTTCACGAAAATCCGACCCGCGGCTAAACCATAAACGTAACCCGCAAGATGGTGACAATGAGCAATAGGCCGAGCCACGGGAATGGGCCGCATCATCAAGAAGTGGGGCAAGCCGTGAAGAGAAGCCCGCAACGTGTAGCCGACTCCGCAGAGAAAGAATCTCGTAAAATAAGGAAAGCATCCTTATCTCCTCGACAGAAACACTAGCCGCGGAGGAACGCTATAAATATGTTTGTTAACCCTCATTGAAAGGGATCCGCAGTTTTACGCAGCAAACTCTTGTAACGTTGATTAACAGAAACATCAATAAAAAATATATCTTCTTATCTTTTGCTTTACATGATTCGTACTTAGAAATCTCGGTTCTTCAACCCTAAGACAAATTATATTGTTCGAGTTTCGACTCCCATAATTGGCGCCGTCTAAGGGGAATCCATATTTTCTTACACGAAGGAATCACCCTGCAAACGATAAGAGATGGTCAAAGAAAGCCAGATCAGAAACCCCGGGGACGATCAACCCGGTGACAAGGATAAAGAACCCGTCGTCGACGAATCTGACACCAACTTGGCTGACTCATACGGAAGTGGCAGCAATCCGCGGCAGGCGCCCAACGTGACTGGTGAAAATAAAACTGAAAACGAGCCGCGACCGCGGCCTGCAGCTAACTAGAGAGCCGCGGCAGGCGAAGCAACGTCAGAGTTCCTGAACCAGATCAAGACGATGGTGGAGAAACTGATTCAGGAGAAGGTGAATGCACCACCATCTAGCGAGCTGCACTCTCCATTAACGCGGAGCCATTCCCGCGGAAGGGGAACAAGTCTAAACGGGAGAAACGCATCGCGCGTGATCCCAACATCCTTAACTTTCTCAACATCGCGCCAAGGATCCGCGGTTTACCCCTAATCCGCCCCATGGCTAATATCACCAAGCCGAGCACAGCGACAGACGCCCTAGCGGCACACGGAACGAATCAAGTGATCGATCTGGATGAAAACCTAGCACGAGAGCGAAGTTCGGATGATAACCACGACACTGCGTGGGGGATCCGAGCCGGGGCTCAGCAGAGTTGCTCGCGATTCTAGCGCGACCGAGAGTACGACGAAGAGGAAGAAAACGTTCTCTGGGTGGAGCAACAGCTCGATGAGGAGCGCAAAACGCTGCTCCAAGCCCAGAGAGAAGAAATGGCCGAGCTCCGAGCGGAGATGGCGCAGAACGCTGTTGATTTAAGATACTAGATGCACTGGGCGTCCAGTAAAACCCCCAAAATCTACTGAGTCATTGAGGAAGTACGGACTACGCCTTTCACAGTACGCATCACAAAGGCAAACATCGCAGACCCGGAAAGATTAAAATCACCCCGTACGAAGGGAGAACCGACCCTACAAAGTATCTCCGAGCATTCTCGATCGCGATAGGACGCATCAGCTTTAAAGAGGGCGAGAAGGACATTGTACAATGTCTTGTGTCAAAGACTTCCAAATAAAGGAGAACAAAGGTATTTGATAACGAGAAAATTGAACCCCCTAAACGCGAAAGGCTAGATGACGAGCCAAATCAACTTGGCACTCGTCAACGAATAAACATGATAATGGGAGGCTTTCAATACTGCTCTGGCTCAATCTCTTCAACTAAAACATATCAACGGAGAGCCAAAGTAAACAACAGTTGGTCTGAGCCATCCACGTTCTCAAACGATGTGGTTTCATTTGGAAAAGAGGATAAATTAGAAGTTTTGATGCAAAAACCCATGGATGATACTGAGAAGATCGATCGCGAAGACGTACACACAAGCTGGATCCATCTTGAAAAAGTACATAAGCAACACACCCGAGACATCCAAAACAAGTGAGAAATATGCAAAATCTCGAGCGCAGCTTTGCTAGTTCCTTAATAAAGAAATAGATGTTTTGCTTAAGGTTTTGTTAGTTTGCTATTTTGTCTATAAATATTTGCTATACAACCCAACTCTAAATT